CCAGGTTTACACTATTTGACTATCTTACTGGAGAGAAAAATAGGATTTTGTAAAGTTTTTGCGTAATTTTTAGTTGCTGTTGCAAAATAAAATTTGAAGATAATTTTAGAGAAAAATTCCTATCATGGAAAAATTTGCACAAAATGTCAATTTTGTCCAATTTCCATGACATTTGACATTCTTGTATTCTAAAAAATTGTCTGGTGACTTCAATTTTTTTTTTATTTTCAGTATCCCAATGCTATAACTCATAATTATGAAAGTATTACAAACATGACGTATCATCAAGACCCATGTATTAAAGTCATAATTATTTATTAGGGGTCCAAGCCTTTCAGGCGAATATTGGTCAAATTTGACAGGCAGGTCACACCGGCACTCTGGAAATGTTGATAAATTAGAAGAAACAGTTTTGTCCTACTGTTGCCATGACAATGGTCGACAACTATATATTTGGTCGTAGCTTAGCACAAAATGTATCTTCTCCTACAAATCTTGGACATATCACACTCAATTTTCTTGAGTGTGTGCCTGAAGTGAATATTTTTTGAGTTGATGCCAGTGCTTTTACTTGATTGACACGTGCTAGCCAAAATCATTGTTTACACTTGACGTCATTGGTTAAACAGTCATGTTAATAAACACTATACATGTTTCGTGTCTGTGTGTCTGTTCAAACTTGATGGGCTGGTCACACCTGTACTCTAGTTAGGTGGACAAATTTGGAAAAATAACAAATTCTGTCCTACCATCAGCATACACTGTAGCAACACCCGAAAAAAAAATTTTTTTTGAGTAGAGCAGATCACCAATCAGCCTGTCATTTTGCTATTTACCGATGGAAAAAATTATATTTCTAAGAATGCAATAACAATTTTATAATTATTAATAGATGCAATAACAGATTGTAAATATGAACTTTAAACATAGACAACATGTACATGAATAATGTAACACTAAAACATACCACATACATTTTAATGGAGGATATGCCAACTCTTAATAATTAATCTGTTTTGTGTGTTTGTACTTAATACAAATGCAAATAAATGAACAAACCCATACCATAGACCCTTAAGGGTCCACAGTTATAAACCTCTAAAGACTTTAATAGTAATGAAGATTTAAGTATGTCGTAAAGGTTTAATCTAAATCCAAAAGGTAATCACAGACCAGGGAATGAACGTTTTATTCATTTTATTCGTCAGTGGCAATACTTGTGTTTCGATATCATCTGGATCTGCTCCTGCCACTCAGGATTACGCTTAGGTTTACAGACTAAGAAGTTTTGTAATAAGTAGATGACATTAGATACTTATTAAATCTGCCGTAGAATTACGAACTACAAACAAGTAAAAGATGATGAGATTATCATGAGAATTATATCATGAATAATTACAAATGTTTAGAAGGGATTTAACAGTACACCTAAAACTAGGTTATAAAATTTTGCATCAGTGTACTCTTTATTGATCTTCAAGGCAGTTTGAGCTTAAATACATGTTTGAATAACAGGCTCCTGTGCATTATGAGAGAGAACTTGCCAGTCGGAACTAAAGATATCATTAGAAAATGAACAATGTGTATAGTATCAAAGCAATCGAACTTGCTGTTTTCAACAAGAATTTAAAAATATCACTTTTCACCAAAAATGACAAAAATAGTTCATCAAAATTAGATAATTAAAGATATCATCACAAAATGAAAAAATCTGAGAGAGGTCCACATGTAGTACCTATATACATGTATGTAATATCAAAGCAATTGGACTTGCGATATTTAACAAGAAATCAAAAATATTACTTTTTACCAAAAATATTCACTATAATTAGAGAATTAAAAAATACCATCATGAAATGAACAAATCTAAGAGAGGCCTACCAAAGGTACATATACACCAAGTATCAAAGCATTCATGCTTGTAGTTTTTAAGAAGAAGTCAAAAAAGTAAAATATTGACACGGACGACAGACGTCGACGGATAATCACTCATATGATAAGCTCCCTTCGATAAAGTCGACAGCGGAGCTTAAAAAATTATTATCACACTGGAAACTCCCATTTCTATTAGTGTCACATTGAGACCCATATTTTCACTGTTACATGTATAATCACTGGCAGATTTAAATGTGTAGTTGGAGATCAAATAACGCTTTCTTTAATAAACCTCAACAAAGACATTTGTTTCATACTTTCAATCTATGAGGTTTTGGAGTTTTATTTCTCAGCCTTAGAATATCAATGATTTTAATGTTTATTGCAAATGCAGAAAGTCATTGAATGAAATGAAGTCATTGTGAAATGCAACAGCATCCTTCGATTTGATATATACATATTCGTACCACAACTCAACAAGCATCTAAGAAATGAAACACCTAAATACCAATTAACAGTGCCCTTCAATTTGAAATATACATATTCGTACCACAACTCAACAAGCATCCAAGAAATGAAACACCTAAATACCAATTAACAGGCCCTTCAATTTGAAATATACATATTTGTACCACAACTCAACAAGCATCTAAGAAATGAAACACCTAAATACCAATTAACAGTGCCCTTCGATTTGATATATACATATTCCTACCACCACTCAACAAGCATCTAAGAAATGAAACACCTAAATACCAATTAACAGTGCCCTTCAATTTGAAATATACATATTTGTACCACAACTCAACAAGCATCTAAGAAATGAAACACCTAAATACCAATTAACAGTGCCCTTCAATTTGAAATATACATATTCGTACCACAACTCAACAAGCATCCAAGAAATGAAACACCTAAATACCAATTAACAGGCCCTTCAATTTGAAATATACATATTTGTACCACAACTCAACAAGCATCTAAGAAATGAAACACCTAAATACCAATTAACAGTGCCCTTCGATTTGATATATACATATTCCTACCACCACTCAACAAGCATCTAAGAAATGAAACGCCTAAATACCAATTAACAGTGCCCTTCGATTTGATATATACATATTCCTACCACCACTCAACAAGCATCTAAGAAATGAAACACCTCAATACCAATTAACAGTGCCCTACGATTTGAAATATACATATTCGTACCACCACTCAAGCATCTAAGAAATGAAACACCTAAATACCAATTAACAGTGCCCTTCAATTTGAATTATACATATTTGTACCACCACTCAACAAGCATCCAAGAAATGAAACACCTCAATACCAATTAAAAGTGCCCTACGATTTGAAATATACATATTCGTACCACCACTCACCAAGCATCTAAGAAATGAAACACCTAAATACCAATTAACAGTGCCCCACGATTTGAAATATAAATATTCGTACCACCACTCAACAAGCATCCAAGAAATGAAACACCTAAATACCAATTAACAGTGCCCTTCAATTTGAAATATACATATTTGTACCACCACTCAACAAGCATCTAAGAAATGAAACACCTCAATACCAATTAACAGTGCCCTACGATTTGAAATATACATATTCGTACCACCACTCAACAAGCATCTAAGAAATGAAACACCTAAATACCAATTAACAGTGCCCTACGATTTGAAATATACATATTCGTACCACAACTCACCAAGCATCTAAGAAATGAAACGCCTAAATACCAATTAACAGTGCCCCACGATTTGAAATATAAATATTCGTACCACCACTCAACAAGCATCTAAGAAATGAAACACGTAAATACCAATTCAAAATGGCTACAATTATTTTTCATCCATGCCACCATAGAAACCAGTGTAATGACATTTCAAATTCTTGCATGGCAAACAATTGTCTGGTGACCTAATATTTGTTTTTCATTTCCGGTTTCTGATTAGAAATAATTTTGCAAGAACGTTCTCAATAAAAATAACCCAGGAATGTCTGAGGAACTGTGAAGAACATATTGTGATGCTGTGACTCAAATCATGAATATCTGTTTTTTTGAATGAGACACTGTCATCAAGCTGGGGTATAGATGATTCCTTCAGAGAATTTGTTGATTATTAAGAACACCATAAACAATGCATGAACACAATACACAGTGGGACTGTTATTGCCCTATTGAAATCAACAAAGCTTAGAAAGAACTCCCGTGAGCTGAAGGTATTGGAGGCATGAAGGTACACATGTGCCTCTGTTACAGCAAATACAGCATTTAAAAATACAACTGAAAACATGTGATGAATAGTACTTCAGATATCAGTAGAAATTAAAGCAGAAAATCGACCAATCTTTATGTAAATTAGGTAATTAATATGCATGGATTTTACCCAAAACTAATCAGGTCTGCGCATTAGCCCAAAGTATCTATGCACCAAGTTTCATCAAAAACCAGCATATAGTTCTTGAGATATCAGTAGAACAGACGAACACAAACATGTACACACATACAGGTGTACTAACTGCAACGACTCCCATTGGGTGTCCGAATCAAAAACACATACATTGTACCGGTAATATATGCTCGTGGTTACACTCTTTCACTTTGCATTTACTATTTTTAGAAAAGTTTGTTTTTTTATCATCATCACACCAGTCACACCCTTATCTTATAAAACATTGCCAGTAATAAATATGGGTTGTTTGTGCATAAGAACACTAATTATTGAACCAATATCTTGAATAAGTGAAATTCAGTAATAAGGAAAGTTGCAGCTAATACACTTTTGGAACTGAAATTTCAAGCAACTTTGATGAATTATTCTTTGTGATTAATTTGTTTTATAGAAGAGAAACTTTAAGAGCCTGAACTAGGTTTTGACTTGAATGAACTAGAAATGTATTGTATAATGCCATTTTCAAATCCAAAATGGCCACCGAAATAGGGTTTAACAAAGTCATTGTTTCCATGGAAACAAGCTCGGCACCCACAAATTTTATTTGATCTTTGTTATCTGTTTTTGACACATTTTTTAAATTTTTTATTACATGTATGTGTAGCTATTAAGCTTTTGTCATTTGCATCTTATGTGATTTTCATTCAATCAACAACTTACCAGTGTTAGTTCCTCCAGTAAGCACCCAGGCACCTGTGGTTTTGGCAGCTTTCTGTAATCCCTTGCTGAAAACTCTTTTCAACTTTGGTTGAAGGTCAAAGTCTTGAATTCCACCATGGATTGATATTACTAACTTGGGTAGTTCCAATTTCCATTCTTCACGAAGTAGTTCCAACATAGATTCTGGTGGTGTGTCATGTGACAGTCGTATATACTAAGAAATGGAACATGATATCAAAATATTTCATCGCAATGCAGTGTATATATACAAATAAAAACATAATACATAATGCCACGATTGTTTTTACTGGTACACGTACAATGTATCATTCAGTGAAGATACAATTTTCAATGTTAGCACTTCCAGGTTTACCCGGTATATGCACTGTGGTAAAAATGATTAATATGGTGAATTTTCGGTCAATATTCAGTTTATACAAAAAAAATAATGGCTGAGACCTGGCTCTGAAATGGCTGAAATGTTTAATTTTGATGAATGTTTTTGTTACGCACTGTATCGGTAACACTTTTGCGTCCAGTGTAAACAAAAGAAAATGTATCAATATGACATCAATAATCTTGAACACAACTTCGCTGTTACCTGTGCCTTATTGGCTTGTCCAGATCCTTTGAATTCAAGTAAGCCATATGAATCAGTTGGTGACACTACAGTGTGTTTCTCTGGAGACCACTTTTCAGTAGCTGATGACTTGAGGTGTGTCGTTTGTGTCAGATGAGCATGACTCGCAAACAGCTTGCCACATCCACATCTGGAAAAAAAA